CATTGTAGTTTACATTTTTCTGGGTCTGTGAAAATAAGGTGATGCTGGGTTTCAGGCCTAGAGAGAAGCTGTTTTGTCTGAATAAAAAGAGAGAACAGTAGCTGACAAGCTATGGAGTTTTAGAATTACACACTAAAGCAGTACTGATCTGGAAAATATAAAAGCTAAAACATAAGACATCAACACAATGATCTAGCTCCATTTGAAATAGCACAGGATCTGTCAGTGGCCTGGTCAGCTGATGTTCCGAGAGGGTGCAAGCTTCCCACAGGTCATGTGTCTCATCTGCCATGCCCATGCAGCTGTACTGGTTATTCTAAGTGATCTCAAATAGCAGTAGCTATTGAGAACTGAATCAACTGAACTCTGCAGTTGATTCCAAATATTAAAGTTTTGTAAATGGTTACAGTCTTTAGACAGTTAAACCTAGGACAGATAAATCCAGATCCAAGTGCACACATTCACTGATTATTTCATAGAAACTGAAAAATAACTAGAAGCTTCTATGGACTAAGTATTTTCTGCCTACGAGCCAGTTTCTTACAACATCCCTGTGAGATGAAGTGGAGGGATAGGCACTGAACTCCTCTCTCTGGTGCCCTCTGGCAAGAGAATGGCCTGAAGTTGTGTCAGGGAAGGTTTAGGTTAGCCATTAGAAAAAGGCTGTTGGGCACTGGAAGAGGCTCCCCAGGGAAGTGGTTGCAGCACCAAGCCTAACAAAGTTCAAGAAGCATTTGGACAGCACTCTCAGGCACATGGTGTGACTCTTGGGGATGTCTTGTGCAGGGCTAAGAGCTGGGCTTGATGATAGCTGTGGATCCTTTCCAGCTCAGAATATTCTGTGATTCTGATTCTGTAATTCTCTTCAGTGAATGCATACTGTACATGTAGGCATCACTTTTAGACAGAGGCTTAAATTAAATGACTGCCTGAAAGTTCACTGCATTCTCCTTTCAGTTATGCACATACAGGCATGTAGAAGCAATTGAGATGCTCTAGGGTATGCCATCTGGCATCCAGGTCTCATTCCAGAACAGCACTTCTGTATTTCTCTATCCGATGATGTAGCTGCCAGCCCCATCTGAATGCCCCAGGTATCCTTGAGCATTTCAAATGGCACTAAATGGCATTTAGGCAAAGAAATTAGTCCCTACTGTTCTTCTAGTGCTTAATCACAGAGAGATTTAAAAACTACCAGTTTGATCAGAGTCGTACAAATAAAATACAAGGCAGTTTAATGTATATAAGTGAATGCAACAAAATATTACCTTGCAGACATACAGCAATTGAAATCATAATGTGGTTGTTGAAACTGTCTAATGTGATGCTGATGTCCTCTTGTCACTAAATATTTGGCATGCACATATGAGAATGCCATAGAAGCATACAAATCTCTAAGTATAGATAATGTTGGCATAAACCTCTCCCTTTTTTATCGTTCAAAAAACAACAGTGAAGTCTCATTTCAACATGAAGGCTGAGAAAGCAGGCAGGCAAATGACTCCCACTGTTGTAATGAGCTGTAATTGTGTGCACGCTTACAAGTATTTGCCAGTATGGCGTACTGAAAACATTCCTCCAGGGGGTTTATCTCTGAACAGAAATATGCTGAGAAATTAAAAGCCAAAGGTAAAACAGCTCTTAGTCCTGCCTGGCTATTACAAGATCCTCTAAGTATTATAACAATTTATGTAACTTGCTGCAAATGAGGCAATATCTTAATGTAGCAAAGGTAGAAAGGTGGAAAGAGGATATAATTGTAGCTCTGAAGATTTTTTTTTTTGGCTTTTGTTAGATCTTCTAGAATACTGCTGCTGAAAGAGGAGAATAAGACTAGTAGGTTGAGATGTCAGATGCTATAAAGCAGTGCCATTTTGAAATGAACTTGTAGAACACCTAGATATTTCAAAAGCTGCACATTTTAATGAAGCTATCAATGAATGTTTGTGACTTATGAATGAAAGGCATTCTAATTTTACAAATTTCAAAAGTTCTCTGACAGTTACATACTTCACACAAATGTGGGAACAGTAATTTACAGTAGTTAGACTGGTTGCAAATCATCTGAAATGTAACTAAAATCTAAAAAAAGCATAACCAAACCTATGAGCAACTATATAAACAACCAGCCCTGTTCCCCCATTTCAGACCTCTCCAGTAGGTAGCTGAAGAGAAGTTCTAAACAAACTCATACAAACTAATCTATTTGTTGCATCCCAATGCTCTTTGCTGAGCCCAGGTCTCTTAGGGCAACATAGCCTGTATAAAGGGCTACTGCTGAGCAAATGGAATAATCCCATATGATTCAATATGGAAGAGAAAAAAAAATACATATAACCCTCAGACAACACTGTTCTTTAGTTTCTGGATTAGAGGCAAAAGACTTTTGCAATCCTCAGTGACCAGAAAAGTTTGAAATATCAATCAACTTCCCTTTGCTCACTGTCTCACTGTCATATTTTCCTGCTCTCTTTGGATGATCCCTATTTCATTGCTGTACATCACAGCAGTTTCCAGCTGCTGGCTCTTACCCAGCTGACTAGCACTCAGGAAACAACCTGTTCACTTTCTTACAGTTTTGGGACATCTCTGAGGAGTAAGACACAGACATTTTTCCTGCTAGTTTGATTACCCATCTCGAGGGAAGAAAGTCAGCCTCATTATCAAAGGTAATTCCACAAAGAAAACCTACATCTTTCCAGTGTTTAAGTGGCTCCCAGAATCCTTGTGGAACCTCTGCAGGCTAGAAATTAAGTGCCTGGCTCCACTGATACATCTGAAACTGTTTAATGGAGACTTAAAGCAGGAGGTTTTAGAACCCCCTCCATCAGTTTGAAGAGAAACCAATCCAATTAATTCTCAGCTGCTCTTCTACTAGTGAAAATACAGGGAATAATCTTAGTTCCACTTAATTTATAATTTAAATGATTATTTGACTGTTTAAATAAAGCTTTATTTTATTTTTGATAGGGCTTTATTGCCAAGTTAATTGACATTTCAGTATCTGTGGCAAATCCTGGGGAAAATGCTATAAAAGAAATGGTTTATTAAAATTTAAATAAATCTTTTTTCATGGGAAATTCAACCAGACCATGTATGTCAGGGGAAAAATTCAAATCTGAGTAGTTTCAGACATGAAATAGGGATGGAGATCCTTAGCCCAGCCGCACGATCTCATAGGTCTAGAAAGACCATTTACAAAATCCAGGAACCTGCAGAACTCTGTTCCTGAAATACACCTATCTGCAGATGTTCCAGGACCTGGACAGCTTGTGAGGTTTATGTCAGAATGCAGTCTCAGACACAGGCACACTGAGTGTAGGGCACAGCTTAGGTCAACAGGCAGCAAGTGACAGCAAACTGTAGTTTTCTTCTGTTTTGGTCTGAAGAGCTCATCCAAGCTCCTACCTGCCCAGCCCTTGCCTCTTGCTATTTCTCTTACAGACCCATAACAGTGCATAAAGACCTAGGGATGCAGGAGGGGACATTCTTTTGGAAGTGTTAGCAATGAGCTTTGCTGACTGCGTTATTTTCCTGCCTTTTCTAACCTGTTAGCTCAAGCAAGATCTGAAATGCACAGACTAGGAAGAGGGAGCAGAAAGGGAGGTAGGAGAATCTGTAGCACCTAGGGTAATGATTTCAGGGAGGTTCAGGAAGAGGCAGAGAAATGACCCTAGGAAAGGGGAGAAAAGGGAAGTAGACTAGGAGAAAAAGAAAGTGAAAAGAGTGCTGCTACAGCAAATGCAAGCCAGAAATTATATTGAGATGTCTGTGACTACCATTAGTATGGTTTCCTAGCAAAATCCACTTGATGCTCTCACAACAACTACTATATACTTATACAATCTAAGAAAAAGCTGTACTCCCCATTTTGTTCACACAGAAGGTGAAACGCACCAAGATGTTCACACTGATGCTGCTGATCGTGCTTGCAATGTTGCTGTATCTCACACACTCTTGCAGAGAAAGCTGCAAAAAAACAAGTCTTGCACCTCTAAGGAACATGGATTTCCTCCTTACATGTCATAAAAGGGAAAAGGAAAATTCCTACCAAGCCAAGGAAGTTGTGCATCATGAAATCTTGTGAGAGTTCTTATTTCTAGGGAGCCCCCAGTGTGGGAGCAGAGAATGTAAGAGAATACAGAGAGTACAGAAAGCAATCTCACCCCTGATAAGTTGCAGCTGTACTAATTACCAAAGAGTGGGAACAGCCTTGCCCCTAATAGGTCACAGCTGTATCCAACAAGGATGGGTGTTATAAAAGAGTGGGTAGCTGGCTGTAGGTTTGTTGGCTGTGCTGAGCTGATGGAGGCTTAGGTGGGTGTGTGAGGGAGAGGAATAAGTTGGTTGGTCCTGCAGAAGGAAGAAGTCAGTGCTGTGTGGAGCTGCCCATAGGAAACTCAGAGAGAGAGGTATGGAATTTTTTTAAGATAATAAGCACTGCTTGTGTCAGTCTTAAATCCACTGTCAACTGGTGCTTTGTGTGAGGACCAGGTGACAGTACCCCATCTCGTATAAATTTAATTTAAACCACATATCCTAGCCTGTTCTGTTCCCTGGTTGGAAAATATCATTACTTCTTGTTTATTCTGCTAGCCAGTCACCAAAGCCACCCTTCTTTAAACCTTTTCAGCACTTAAATGTAATGTGAAGTGCAGGGTAAAGGAACTGCTAGTGCTGATTAAGTGTCTGATGCATCTGAGGAGCAGGAAAGTCACAAAGAAAACTTGACAACCTTTATTACTCTATGATTTTTGGTGGAGGCAATGGTCAGAAGTGTGTGCTTTCCTAGATACTGAGAACTGTAGTCTGTGTTTCTCTAGATTAAAGTATGGCTCTGCTGTCTCATTGAGGAAGTAAAGACTTTCTGTGACAGTTGAAAGCAGTTCACTTGATATTTTCTTAAAAAGATCAAGATACAAAAATATTAGGATCATGGGGCTAAATGGTTTCTGGGTGTTATCACATTGCAATAAGTAACTTTTCTTTCCTATGTGTAGGCATGATCTGAGAATAAAAGCATCTGTTTTCAGAAATGGAGACTGTTTTGTTTTATTAAGCTGTGGTAATTATCCCATATAAGTCCACTGGTTCAAAGCTCCTGATGTAACCTCTGAGAGATAATAAAGGTAAGGTGTTAATTTTTCTTGTAATGAATTACATCATCTTATGTCTGAAAATATTGACAAAACCAGGATGTAATTTTTGCCTACCTGTTTCAGACTGCCTCAGTTTCACATACTTCAGCATATATACCTTGTATTCAGCACATAAAAAATAAAAAGTAGACTTCAGGAACAACCTTGTGACACATACATTCAAAGAGGTACAGAACTCATTTTGTAAAGTTAGGGAAAAGGAGTACTCAGCCGATCTCTGAGAATACATGACTGCATCCAGCATTTTGTAAAGTGTCTGCTGGTTTGGAGAAAGATCAATTATCAAGCAGTAAACCGACAAATTTTAAAAGATAATTTTCAATACAGCATTGAACATCCATCTTATTTACAGAAGGTCTTTTTAGGGAATTTGAAGTGAGATGTATGAGAACTTTTTTTTTTGTAGACAATAAGTAGAGCTTTTGAAAGCAACAAATGATGACTTGAATGAGACCTATATGTGGCTCACTGAAATTGTTTGGCTACTGAATGCAAACTGTATTCCCAGATGCTTCATGGGACTAAAACTTGCTTTTTATACTTCACAATTACTTATGTTTCATACAAATACCATGACAAAAGGTAAATGTCAGGTTACCAGGCATGCCCTCCTAGGCATATTGTGGATGTGACTCTGCATAGTCCCTCACCTCCATGTGCATGTTTGCTGCAGCTGATGAGGGGACCACAGGACAGCCTCTGGCAGCAAAGATACATTGCATGGTTTCTATTTCATTCAGCTGGCTAGGATGTGCATTTGTGCTTAATTCATTAAGGGCTGAAGTAAAATCACAGCACCTTGTGCTGAGGGTTTATTGCTTAAGACAGCTTTGAGCTGTGGGACAATGCGGGGAATATACACTTAGATTAGTCAGAAAAGTTGACAATTAAAGCACTGGTTTATTGATATGGAATAGACGGTTTTCTTGCGTTCCTTTACAGTAAGATGAAAGACCCCGTCCCCTATTTTAGTCCATCCAAGACTCTGTTCCACTTATTTCCCAGTCCTTCAACATCCATTGTTTAAGAAACCAAGCCACTTCCTTGGCATCCATCTGTTTAACACATCTGTCTCACTTTGTCTGGCTAAATTCCTTGAGGCAGTGTTGTGGTGCTCTGCAGAGAAAATAACTTTTTCTGTTAGACAATACTCTACAAATAAATGAAATTGAAGGGGAGAAAAGGTAAAAAAAAATCTTTGAGACATGAAATCACTGGAATTTTAATCTTTACCTAAAAGAACTCTTCTTGATGTTTTATTTTATACTCAGTGTTTGCACTAGTAATCAAAAATTTTGTAACCTTTCCAACTCTCTAAATCAAATGGTTATTTTCAGGGCTATGAAAGTGAGAACCATTTTCACAGCCTATAGAGTTATACTGTGCTGTATATTCCTTTTTTTTTTTTTAAGTCACACACATAATCACATTTCTACTACTTCCAAAAAGAATCTCTTTTGGACTGTTTTAGATTTGCACGTTACATCACTTTTATTTTTTTGCTTTTCTCTAACTTTATATGATTGTACCAACTTGTATTATTTCTCTGAATTATTTCTTTCACTTTATTTTAAATTTATAGCAATAATTTAGCCAGTGTAGATATGTAAAAAGCCAAACCCACAGCTGAGGTGGGGCCACAGCTATCTGTATATTTAAAGTATATGTCATTGCAGTTGAATACATTCTGCCATGGAGAAGCACAATGGGGTTATCAGAGAGCAAGAAGTTGCCCAACTGTGGCTCAGTGACTTAAGAGCTGGGATAAAAAGTTCCAGACCAGGTAAGGTGGGGAGACTGCCAGAGTGGTTAGGAGACTCTTTAGCTGCAAGTAAAGTGCTTTGGGAATTTTCTGAGAAAAGCCTTAGGTGTGCTGGCTGGGAAAAGGCTGAAGAATAGAGTTTTTTTAAGGCTGCTACTGTTTGTCACTGAAGGATATTTGATGTGGGCAGCAGGCCAGGAAGTTAGAGCTTTTGAAGGCTGAATACACTTCCTTATTTCTGGAATAGGTTCAGGGTTTCAAACCATTTGGGTACTGCCTGTATTATTTTGTGGCTTAAAAAGGAAAGTACCAGACAGAGTAAAAATTTCAAGAAACTAGCAAACTACTAGGATATGTATCACTAGCAAGTAAAGGGGCTGCATTCAAGGAAAGTGAACTGATCTGAACTAAATAGGAAGGAAGAATCAACATCTAAGCAACCAGAATAATGCTAATTATATCAAATCAGGTTCACAGAAGGTAGATGTGGCAAACTGAGCTGACTTGGAAGAAGAGAGATTTTTATGGATGGAATGCAGAGCTTCTACATGACTGCAGCAAAGCAGGCGATGTGGAGATTGATGAACCCACTGAAAGATGGATAAAGTATGATCCAAGGAGAAACCTGTACTGATAGGAACCTATTGGTGTTCTGCAATGTTCATGTTATTTACTTTTGTCATTCAACAGGCTTGGCACACTGAAGTGTGCTATGTTACAAGGTTAGGAGGCAAGACTAACATGCCAGAGGTGCAAGTTATTGTTACAAGGGTTGTACTGGAGTATCTGAAATAGATTCATTTTCTATACATTCCCAGTGCAAGGCTATAGCTAAGGGGATCTGTTCTGCTGAGGGCATTGGAAGAGAAACCAGGGGGAGCTGATCACCAGGAAATGAGCATGGAGAGAATTGATTATATAATATCTGAGTGTTGTCACAGGACACCTGACATACACTTGTGGAACATGTGTATGGTTCTGGTGAAGTCTTCCCAGCAAAAGACGTAGAAATATTTCTGCTGTTTAAAGGATGTGAATTACACCTTGTCTTGAATGCCACTTATAGTTCTGATTGTCCATCTTCAAAAGAAATTAAACCAGTAAAAGAATTGCAGTACACTGCCAGTACATAAACGGGCCTGCAAGAGAGCTGGAGGACTTCATAGAAGGACCTGTAATGGCAGGACAAAGTAATAGTTGAAAGAGGGTAGATTTAGATTAGATATAAGGAAGGAATTCTTCACTCTGAGGGTGGTGAGACACTGGCACAGGATGCCCAAAAAAGTTGTGGATGCCCTATTACTGGAAGTGTTCAAGGCCAGGTTGGATGGGTTTTGAGCAAGCTCGTCTAGAGAAAGGTGTCCCTGCCCGCGGCAGAAGGGTTGAAACTAGATGATCTTTCAGGTGTCTTCCAACCCAAACTATTCTATGATTTTGTTATTGCTGGGATGACTGCGGAAATGGAAAGCATTCTTATCAGAAAATACTTAGAAAACTGTGTTTATTCCAGCAAAGTCAGTCTAATTTGAGGAGGGATGTAATTGCTCTTATAAATACATCAGGGAGATTCAAGAGCTGTTTCAGGTGAAGTACAGTGCTGGTGCAAGAGGAAAGGGATATGAAGTAGCCTTGAATAAATTCAGATTAGAATTAAACAGAGGCTTAAATTGTCTGAGAAAACAGCTTCTGAAACAGAATTTCTAAAGGAGTACTGGGAGTTAAATTTAATTGATTTAAAACAAACTAGTATATTTTAAGAAGAGCTTATAGTACATAATGCTTGTGATTGCTCAGGATTGGATTCCCTTTGATAATTAAGAAGATGCCTTGCTTGTGATACCTTGCCTTTCACAAGCTCCCTCCTGGTGTATGATTACATTCCCACATTGTGATTCTGCCATATCAGTAATTCTGATGGGGAGGAAGGAAGGAAAAGAGTGATTAGTAGCAAAACTTTCTATTAGTACCAGCCTCCAAACCTGAGTGTCAATAAGTAGTAACAGATTCTGGTTTTGGGGGAAGTCTTGAAATATGCCTTTGCCAGCATGTCCCAGAAATCTAATTTTAATGATTGACATACCTATAGCATTAGCACTTTATAACATGTTTCAATTATCTTGAATTACACTCAATTCCAAATTAAATGCTAATAAAAATAATATAAAAACCTTGTAAAACCTCAAATAGCTGACAAGGTCACAAATGTTTCTGCATATGTGCTTTACAGTAGAAGTATCAAATAATTGGCTACCAAATTTTTCCTGCTTTCTACAGTGAGAACTACCCAGCTGATACAACTTTAGAAGTTCTGGATCAAAGTTCCAGCACACCCATAGGCGATGAGTGCAAATTCCACACCTTCTCTCTGTTGCACTCTATCTTTCCAGCCATGTTTCTTAGGGTCTCCAGCCAAAGCAGACTTTTCCTTTGATGTTACTGTAAATGTCATGTTCATGGTCTTTACTCCTTTGGTTCTAAAAAAACTAAATGTCCTTTAGAACAGCTAAGCACAGTCTTCTACCTGCTTGGGAAACCCCAGGTTTCCCAATCTCCTCCTGTGTTGGATATTGCTAAATTAGGAGTGACTTGTTAATGTACAATAGCATACAAAGCTGTTTGCTACCACAGGAGCTTACGTTCATGCTTTGGCCCCAAAATACACAGAACACTGGTTTTTGCATAAATATCTTCACTGCCAACCATTTTGTGAACATGCAACTGAATAAGATTTGAACACTGCTGATTTGATGAAGACAACATAACACCTTTGAGCTAGTGATGTATTTGAATTTGTATATTTCATTAAGACTCCTGCCCTGAGAGTCTTAATGAAAAATAAAGTGGTATAACTTTTTATATTTAAGTTATTTATACATGTTAGATGTATTTGAACATTAAAGTCTCTGTCAGATAGATATGAATGGATATTTGTTATTTGTTTAAGGAAAACTTTGCAATAACTCTCAGACTCTGTAGGCACAAAGAAAATCAATGTCACTGTAAAAAGTGTAAACTTCCTTTGGATTGAGTACTGATTAAATACTACTTTTTCTATCTAATATGTTGCTTATCTATTCAAAACTGTGAAGAACTGGAGGTCTATCTACTACAAATACTACTGCGTATAGAAACTTTGAGAAATCGGTATTTTCACAGTACTGAAAACTAGAACATTGAGAGAGTTTGATTTTGTGCTGTTTGCTTTCTACCTTATGCTCTGAAGAGTCCAGCTGGAGTTACACTGTGTATCCATCCATCTGTCCATCAGGTACTTTCAAACTGCTTTGCTCCAGAGAAGCCTGGTTTCATTTGGCGTTTGTTTTACTTTCAAATTTGACTTCTTGGATGGTTGATAAAGCAGCAGGAATGCACTGATTTGCCGTTTTTTTAAAAGCCTTTTAGAACAAATACAGCTACAGACTTTGTAAACCAAGAAAGTGTTTGGCCATCCTCCCCATGGGGGTAGGTATGAATTTCTGATACACTGGTTGACAAACATCTGAATACATTATACCCTTTATTGCTGAGAGAAGAGTGTGATTTGTCCTGCTTCCCAGGCTCTCTGCCAAACTTACCAATGGCCAGAACTGTACAGAATATGGCATAGCTACAGACAAAGGGGAAGATTCTGCCACTAGCACCTGGTCCCACAAATTTTGTGAAAAATAAGGATTCAAATTACACTATGGCACAGCCCTATCCTACCAGCAAAAGATGCTTCTGGTATTGAAAGTAGGGCAGGTGAGGCAGACTCTTCCTCAGGGCCGGTCCTCCTCCTCCAGTTTTCTCAAGGACTCAGAGCAAGGTCTTGTGAAATCACTCTGTATTTATGCTATCTGGAAAACCTCAAGCATGGTGTATGCTAAGATAAATGACACTGAATTACTGGGCAAAAAGTATCTCTGTAGTGTCTGGGGTTAGCATGATTACTTCAAGATTCATATTCCCCTTTGTGGTTTGTGTTTCTGGTGAATCAGACTAGGTATTTCCCTTAGCTATTTCTTCCTCCTCATAAAACACGTACTACTGATCTCTTTGGGATCATTAATAATGTAGATTGATGCAGACAGCCCATACTGCAAATGGAAAAGTCTTGATTAAGTTATCATATGATGCTTCTGTTAAGCAAGGATTATCCTCTTGAGCTATTCTAGAGCATTTTGTAATATCTCTTTAAATAGATATAGGACCAAGTGAAAAAATTCACCTGAGGATCCAAAGCTTTTTTGCCTGAAGGTTGTAGCATTTAGATCCAGGTTTTCTTCAGGCTCACATTATTGCAGCCAAGGTCACTCATGACACCAGAGTATGAGGGCTTGATTAGGAGTCTTCTTATACAACTGTGCCCTTGTCTGACAAGGATCCTCTGCTACTAGGGAGAAAAATGTAGGACTGTAGTGATGGAAGGGGAAAAAAGAGCTCAGAAATATTGTGGCCACTTCCCAGCAGCAGTGCCCATAGCAATTTCCACCACTTAATTTGGAAAGATATTACAAACATATATGAGTTTTCCTTTTTTCACATTATTGACTGGGCATGGAACTTGCTGCTGTGGTTTAGTTTACAGGGTGGTGTTCAGTCAAAGACTGGATAATCTTGGAATTCTTTAAGTTTAATGATTCTGTGGTTTTATATTCCGTATTATTTTTTCTGTATGTACTGTTTTATTTGGGGCAGTTTTCAGGCTGTTCTTGTGCATTAATTCTAACCCCTCCCAGCCTGAGCTTCTCAATCCAGTCTTATATACTGTAAAGGTACTTAAAAATGTAAGCATGTTGTCATAATAACAATTCTTATTAGTACAAGAAAAATTTATTCCTTACATAAATAAAATGGCTATGAAAGGAACAAATTGTAGAGTGTTAACAGAATAAAGGACATGATAAACAGCATTGTTAATTAGTTTGCTTAGTCATACTTTTATATATTTGGTAATAGTTAATCATATTACATTATTATAAAACCATAACTGTTGTAATGTCATTACAGATTTTTATTTCAGATGAGAGCTTCATGTCTTCCAATTGCCTAATGCAAAATAATTTCTAATTAATAATTCCTTTGGTGTAATTATAACTAACAATGTGAATGTGGGGAAATTAATGAATTAGGAAGAAAGCTTACATTTTGTGTTTGGATCTGTATGCTAGAATGATTTACAGCTTTTCTGCTTCCTCTGGTAATGGCTGTAATTTAATTATGAAAACTTCAAGAAATGTCCCCTTTCCACCTCACTGATTCTACTTTTTCTGTAGCTGTCATTGCATTTACTCTCAGAGATTGAATTAAATAGAATAGCTGCAAGAGTTTATGAAAGAAAGGCAGCTAGTTGTTTCACCTTTTACAGTGGAGCCTGTACTGCAGAGCTAACTTTGCTGGTCTGGCCTCTGCAAGATAAACTGTGAGCTGCCACTGATGAAAGCTGCCTCTCTGCCACCTCATGCTATTTTGGTCTGATGACCTGTGCAGTGCTTCATTCATTGAACAACATTTCCCAAAAGGACAAACAGAGGAGCTCATTGTCATTGCTCCAAGAGTCCAGTTCTCAGCACTGGGTATAGAGGACAAGCTCTTTTCCAAATCCACTATCCTGGGACATCTTTGCCCCACTCTGCCATTATTTTCAATGTCCTCAGGTGCATCTTAAAAATTCCTTCACTGGCATAGAATAGTATGAACCTAAATACTTTGCATCTTTGTTTTAACACATGCAAAAATTTGTTTTGACTCTTACTGAAATTGCTGTTGTGGGATGATGGTCATACCTATACAGTTACCTGGCTACAAATTGGATGTGTCTTAATTCAGGTACATTTGTATCTGAATTATAAACCTGAATATAAACAATTTAGTCAGTTGTGGAGATCTATTTCAGGGAATGCACAGTCACAGCTCAAAACTAGTACTCTCCAAACAAAATCAGAAAGAATAGGCAGGATGGGAATCCTGGGTACATCAACTTATAAAGCTTTGTTTATGTGAAAGGCAGACAGAGTGATAGCTGCTACTGTGCTGCTTTTAGAGCCACCTCTTAAACACAGTAAAATGTCATAATACCTCAATACATGTTCTGCTAAATACTGATTATTTTTTTTTTTAATTTTGTAAATGCTCTCTGACTTTTTAATAAAAATGGATGTTGGCACTATAATATCTCCTCTCATCTGGAAAGACAAAATACTGAGTGAGATGAAAGTTTTGAATACCAGTTTTGCTCTCCTAGGTCCTAGAGTTAGTATGCAATTGCTGAAAGGCAGAAATGGTTAATAATATCAGTCAGGTGATGTGACCTGAATTAGGCACACAAAAAATCATTTGAACACATTATGGTCTTTAATGCCACCTATGAAATACACTGCACTACAAAGGCCCAGCAAACTAGAAACTCCATCATATCAAAGAACTCAATCACCTCCTGTGTCACAGTGACCCCTCTCAGCTACCACATCAGCTGGTCTTTACTGACGTTTTTAATCTTAGCCAAGATGCTGTCTGACTGGTGCTTGGTGCAGGATGGCGGGAGATGTAGGGCAGGGCAAGGTGAAGCCAAGAGCACTCAGTGTGATTATGTTTGTCATCTTGCTCCTGGGGCTGCAAACGGATTTGGCCCCTTAGGCTGGCTCAGAGTTGCTCTGTGTGGCACCTAGATGCCCATGTCTGCAAGGAATCTTTCAACACATTGCTAGTTGCCAGGATCACTGAATGTGAAGTGACTTCAAAAATCATCATTATTTTTTGTATAAGCTGTATATTTGAGAATGCTAATGTATTTTATTTTGTGATTGTTGAAATATTATATGTTGGCATCAATGTATTTCAAAAAATTTCTCTTGTGTTCATTTCACTGTTTTTAAATCTGAATTTCCTTTCAGCGTGGCTGTTCTCATATGTAAATATATTATTTCTGCTGAGACATCAGTTTTGATTAGAGTTGGCTTTCTAGCTGAAGGCTCTTGAAAAAGCTGTCTGGACTTCTGCCGAGGCTGTGATCAGATGTTGTTCTGTCCTACTAGCTACCTTACAGTGTGTCTCTTTGTATTCGTCAGAAGCTTCAAAATCCCAAAGAACACATTTTTCTCATGTATATCTCTTTTGTAAATGCAGAAATAACCTAAGCATAAAGTGCATTCACTGTGGTCATCCTACTGTGTTTCCAAACTGGAATTAGAAGAGAACACAGTAGTAGTATTTGACAGAGTATTATTCAATTGCCTTTCCTCCCCCATGGACCCTTACCTACCTACCCTGACTCTGAGAAAAGATGGACAATTAAACCTTTTTTAATCCCTGGGGACTCTGCATTCCCCTTCCTTTTTAAAATCAGAGTAGTGTCTGCTACTTCCTTGTATGTGTGGGAGGTTTCTTCTTGCATCCTTACTGTAGAACTGGAGACCTTCACCTGAGAACAGCAGGGAGGCAGCACTGGGCCTAGCTGGTATCTCTGGGGAGGCAGAACCTGCAAAGTATCCTGTTTGGCAGAGGGTTTGAGATATGCTGGGATGGTTACAGCCAGGTCCTGGCAGCTTCCCCACCCAGAGTGAGCACCTCCTCATGACAGCACAACCCCAATTTACAGCACCTCCCATCACCTCACTAAAGACTTTGGGGAGGGTGAGTGTATTAGACAGCAAAAGCAAGGGAAATTGAGGCTAGGAAGTGGGAAGAAGTATTTGATGGAAATAGGGAGTGTTTTGTTTTTGACAGAAGTGAGACTTTTCACTAGACTTATTTGAAATGGAAAAATAGAATTCTCTTTTCTTAGCACTATTCTTGTTTTCATTTATTCCCCAATAAGAATCTTTCAAGAGCAAAAGACTAAAACAATCCAAGCAGTCCCACAGAAATATTGCCAAAGGTGACACATTCTAGTCAAGGAATCAAGCTCATGGAACAGAACAGGGGCACAAGGCACAAAAATCCCGTGTATTTTGGGAAAAGTATTATTTCATTGGCAAAAACTCAGGTGGATTTTCTTCTATTCTGTGAAAACCAGATAAGTAATTCCAATCAAAAATTAAGTTTTCATAATTTATTAATTTCCAAGTGGGAAATAGTAGATCAGTCTTGGAATCTGCAGTTCTTTTTATGTAGAATATTAATTAGAGACTTTTGCCAAAGATAGCTCTATGGGAAACCTAGCAGAGACCTGTAAGAAATGAAGATGTGGTGCTAAGAAGTTGAAGGTAGACACCCTCTCTCTTCTCCAGATAGAAGGATGGAAGGCATAGAGGGAAGAGGAAATCACTTTCACAGATGGTCTGATTTTGTGTTTGCACTTGGAGCAAGGTGAGAAATTGGATAAAAGGCTAAGATAATGTATCTTAATGGATACAGTATTTGATACCAGTTTTGACTGAATAAAATGAGTCTTTCTTAAGCAAGTGAAATCACTCCAGATGCTTTTTGGGCTTCTTATTATTTGTATAGTTTTGGTGGGATACCCTGATAGATAATGTTTTGAAAAAAAGAAAAATTAATATATGACGTATTGCACATGCAAGAATAGTTTCTCACTACAGTGGCTTAATTTCTATCATTTATCTCAGAACCCTGAGTTTACAGGCATAGTAGTAACAAAACACATTTAAATTCAAGTCCAGATTCTCATAAAGACTTCTGTTTCAGGAAGGTGTCCAGATCTTGAAAACTACTTGAGATGCAGTAGTATGTGTCAAGATGCACTGGAACATCTAAAAGCTGAGTGTTTTCCACTTCAAAATTTACCCATGTAGGAGCTTTAGAAAATGTATTTGCTGTTCAAGAGAACAAACAGGGAAATGTGGTTGTTACACTTCTGAGAACCTGGCTTATATGCTGTAACTTGTCCATCTCTCAAACTCCCCAATGTTTTGGTAGTGGTGTAGTCTGAAAACTACATGGAATGTCTAAGTAGACATTTCTTCAGACTCTTACCAATATATTATACCTCAAATACTTAATAATGCAGTGTGCCATATCCCATAGTGTTTCACAGTAATTCAATAAGTGCAAAATTAACTTCATGACTAAAGTACTGAAAGCCCCTCTGGTCTCATTCTAATGTACACAATTTTCAGAAGCTAAAATACTGTCACACGTAAAGCTTACATTGTAGTTTGAGGTCTTCTTACTGAAATCTGGTTGTTATAAATAAATCTCTAATTAGAATTGTTTTTTCTTCTCCCAGAAGACTTGGTAATAGATCCAGGTATTTTTAGAAGCAAAGCATACTCAAATATATTTTAGTCTCCTGTTCCAAAGCACAAGTACTCCTCACATGATTATGCACCTTCTGCAATGTCAACTTTCCTTTACTTGGCAGCTTCAACATATTGCTATGAAGTAGAAATTTATAAATAGCTGTTTAAAAGAGACTCTCCACCCCCTCTGATTTCTAGGGTTTTCTCTCTCATTTCTTCTTGAAAAGACCAGTTTAAACTCAGATTTCAAGAGACCACTGGGACCAGATTTGTGCTGCCCAGACAGAATTTTAGGTATTTTGATAAGAATGGGAACTCTATGAAGTCATATAAATGACAATTTAAAAGCAGCTGGTATCCAGTGCTGTGCTTTCCTATTGTCCTCAAGAGGTGACATACAAATTTCAGTGAAGTAGAATGTGTTTTAAAATGATTCTTAACTAAGCACAGAATCTTATTGCAATTGTATGTTATTAAAGAAAATAAAAATTCCCCAGTTCAGGCTGACAAGACGTCAGTATTTTGTTCTACCTGAACTCCTTAGCTCAGGTTGGGTTTCCCA